TGTTAATAAAACTGAAACGAAATGACTGTATTGTATATAACTATTCTTGCATAGATGAGTGAAAGGACATTCATTAAATGTTCATTTAAAAACTGGAATGCAAAGTAATTTACAAATACAATGTTGTAGTTGTTACGACATATTATTTTGTTAGTCACATTTGTATGTAACTTTTCTAAATAGATCAATGAAAGCACATTCATGCACTACAATGTTCATGTTGAAACTGTAACTATAACATAATTAATATTGTTTCCCTAGATCATTGAAAACACATGCACTAAATTGTCATGTTGAAACTGTAACTACAACATAATTAATATTTTTTCCGTAGATCAATGAAAACACATGCACTAAATTGTCATGTTGAAACTGTAACTACAACATAATTAAGGAATGCTAATTGTTATTGTAATTTTTTAGCAGTGTGACTTGTATGATTAACTTCACATTCATGTTAAAACTGAAGCTATAACTGATTAAGAAATGTTTATTTGTATGAAGACTGTCTTTTAGCAGTCACATTTGTATCATAATTGTTAGTTTTTGTTATGTTCATTCAAGTTATTCAGGCTTCAGAATGTTTTTCACATAATTGGAGGATCCATCCACTGACATTGTGACATTTTCTGCGGAAAGGAGTGCTTCTGATATTTGATCAGACGTTAGATTCGATTCTTGCTTGTTGTCGATGAAGCTTTTCAAGACATCTGTGAATGCAGTGAACCAGGTTTCCCTTCCATCCACATCGGCACATAGTCTTGCATACATGGCTTTCTTCGATGCTTTCGTCTTTTGGGTTGCACCACATGATGGGCATTTAATGATGTTTGCATTGATGTCGTATGGCATTTTTCTGTTGCAAGCCTTTATTTGACATTGGAAATAAATGTTTAGTTTGTCGACAAATTTAAATTCTTGGACTGTAACTTTTTTCTCCTTGTTTTCTAAAAGATCTGGTCCTTTGACTTGTTTGAGTTCTGTTTGGACTTCATCAAAGGTTGTCCATGCTGTGGTTCCGAGCATAGTATTTCCTGAATAGTTTTTCATGCTGAGGTTCTTGAAAGTGTAACTTTTCGAGTTCTGGACCTTGTCTATGAGGTCATCCCATATGTGGAGGATTGCGTTACCGGTTGCATCTTTGATAACGCAATCCTCCTTGACCTTTCCATTCTCACTATTTCTTTTTTTCACTTCTTTGGCCGGCGTTTGGCAAAGAGTTAGGATTCCAGTGACATTAACTTTCTGATTTCTTGTAAGTGTTGGCAGCTGATTCAACGTGATGTTTGAAGCTACTGTGGGGCTACTTTGTTTGGCATTATCTGACAAAAGACGACGAGGGGGTACTTGTGAAAGTTACATCGCTGTTGGTCATTTGTAGCAAAGTTGTGGTTTGATTTACAAGAAATTGCCCATTGTCCTCCTTGACATTCAGTAGTTTCACGGGATTGCCAGTTTTCTCGTAATGTTGACATTGAGTATGCGTTGCCTGATCGAATCCTACTACTCTCCAAGCTTTAGTGGGTGAGGTCTGAAGGGTGCAATGATAATATTGCGTTCCTTTTTTTGCTTTCTTCATTGGAGAGACGTTTGAAATAAATCCTGGGTCGCTTTCTGAAAAAAAATGAAGGTAGAAATAAATTGTTTGGATTTTATGAAGAAATCGATTACTGTAGTCGTTTTTAGCTGTTTATAGATATCGTAAGAATTCAAGAACAGGAGGTCACCATAATAATATATTTGATCCGCATTGCTTTCATGAGAAAATATTTCAGGAATTGGTTAGATTAAGGCAGCCATGGTATGACATGAATTCTCAGTAAGTGAAATGCTATAGATATACATACCTTTGCGTTTTAAAGGGCTTGACGGTGAAGACATTTTGTTTGTACTTTGAATTACAGTATTTCCTGATAGAGAAAAGGATGTGTTAGTTAACTAAAAGTTTTATCCAATGAATTCTAGAATGATAAGTATTGTTTTGATAATTTAGGAATTTAACTTACAACAGAATTATGCCAATGATGTGTCGTTGTTATAAAAAAAATAAATAAATAAAAACACTTCAAAATTTAATACAGTTGAAGGTCCTAACGGACATTTTCTGAAGTGGAAAGCTCTACTTATGGCCACTATGTGAAATCCTTGATGTAACTTTTGACAAATTCTTTATTTCCATACTGTAATAAGGTTATGTTGTTGGTTTAAAAGAACCCAAGAAATATAAATTACGTCTTTGTAAAAAGAGTTTTTGTATCTTCTGCTAATTTATCCAAGCAATTTTCTTCCATTAGCCTAAATTCAAATTGAGAAGATTTTTTAATACTTGTTAAACGCTCAAATGTCATTGGCTCGATTATGCAAGAATTGAGTGATCGAACTCTGCTTATGGCAACATATGTAATTCCTGGTGCTTTTTCACTTGGTCCAATATCGATCCATGCTTTTGGAAGAGTTAGTCCTTCGCTTTTATGTATTGTTATTGCCCATGCAAGCTTCAATGGTAATTGCTGTCTTTCATGAAATGTTTCGAGGGACTTAGAAGTAATAGTAACAGGAGGAATTGGAACACATTTTGGTAAAGTGTCAATAAATGATGGTCCTGTGTAATGGTCAAACTGAACTATTACTGCTACAGGTAGGTTTGGTGGCGAGTGGTTGTCTGTATAAATGATATCTATTACTTTTCCTATTGCTCCATTACAAAGTCCAACTTCTGACCACAAATTCATAGTTAGCATGACAGAAGCTTTTGTAGCTAAGAATAAGGTTGGAACTAATCCGCACATTTCTTCAGGAGATACAGCCTTTGCAATGGAAGAGGAATGACGAGCGTCAATTTGAGCTATTGGTTGACGAAGCTTTAATAGTTGATCATAATTATAAGTAGCAACTTGATCATTGCCATAAAACAGTCTCATTGCATTTTCAAATTCACTTAGATTTGGAACAGCTGATGGCTGGCGAGAAAGAAGAAGTTGCCAGTCTTCTTGAGTTGAATCTCCATTTCTGAGACGCTCTAACAATTGTTTAAAAGAAACCTGTTCTGGGTTTGAACCTTGCACACGTTGATTTTCAGATAGCTTTACCACTTTGTCAAACATCAAATATGCAAGATGGCCTTGTTCACCTATTACTCCTGATGGTTTCGCATGATACAAAGGTTTGTCTGCAACAGGTGTAATTGAGCAGGGTCGCCTATTAAAATAATTGATACATTTCCAAATACTTCATCCTGTTGCCCAGTTGCCTGTCTACAACGTTTATCAATCCAGCCAAGCAAAGTTTGTCCAAGCATAGAGTATTCATCAATAAGTATATATTTAATGTTTTGTAGTTTATCTTGCAATCTTACAAGTGCTTGTCCTTTCAAATCTGTGTTTCCTCTGGCACCAACAGGTAAGTTAAGAAGTGAATGGACAGTTATGCCATTAATATTGAATGAAGCTTTGCCAGTAGTTGCTGTTACAGTACAATTTTGCTGCATGAGATTTCTTTACAGTATTTACAGTATAAACCAAAATTTGTACTTTTGGGATTTGATGAGTATGTGGGATAAACTCTTGGTACTACATTATCTGGTTGATCTACTAATTTTCCATTGACAAGACGATATTTCATTGCAAATTGGAGAAAATTTAAATTACATAAGTCACATGCTACAGTGCCTTGATATTTGTCACGTTCAGCGTAGGCATCAAGCAAACTGTCTGTTGTTGCTCTATCATCAGGCTGTGTTGTGATATTAAGTCTGCGTGAACTATTTAAGGTTATAGGAACTACATTAAAGGATGAGCTTAGAAGGTTTAAGGACAGTAAATGGTGCATTGTCTCTTGTGCAGAAAAATCTCTTTGGCCAAGTGTTTTCATGACAGTTTTCTTAATTATGGATGAAGCATTGGTATTCACTTGAGAGTTATGCACAATGGTACTAAATGCTTGCTTAAGGAGATGTGATTTGGTTTCACTTTTTGCTGCATATTTTGCTAAGTACTCCACACATGCATGGTAGTCTATAACAATTTGAATATCACAATTTGCCCTCCAGCCTTGGAGTTGAAAGCGCTGGTGGTTGTTTACTCTGGAATCATTCCTTTTTGTAGTTACTTGAACTTTGTATTTTGATGTGTTGTCTTTTGAATGAATAAGTTCAAAATGCAATGACGTTTTTGTACAGGTTTCAAATGGAAAGTTAAATCTACATTTTGGTTCTGTTTCATTGTGCTTTTTCCTTAAACAATAACTTGTACTACAACGAGTGTGTCTTTGAACCATATTCAACAGATCAATATAGTCATTGTCAGAATCTTTAAATTTTTGTGGTATTCCTGACATGGATGAATAGAAGGCTTTATTCACAGACCATTATCTGGAGGATTTGGGTTACATGTAGACAAGAGCCAATCAACATATTGACAGATCTTTTTGGTAGCCATTTTACCCCCATTTACTATTGTACTGGTAGCATTATCTTTACTATTCTCTGCCAAACAACCATTAAGTGCAGTTTCACTCAACTTGCACAGGCCTGGATCATTGTTAAGTTTAGCAACACCATGGCAATGAATGCCTCCTCTAGATTGATACTCAAATCTATACTAGTGCCATTTTGCATCAAGTGAATCATATAGCCAGTGTTTAATAAACTTTTTCAAGCGTTCAGTAAAAAACCAATCAACAATATGGGGATTGTTAATAACATTGTTACATCTTATTTCAGATAAGCTACCTGTAATCCCTTCATCTCTTTCATTTCCAAAAAGAAAATGCAATTCTGGCCAATGCATATCTGCTGCTATATATGTGAAAAAGAATGTTGACGGTCCAGCATGCTGAATGATTGCTTTTAAATCCTCTTTTGCTTTGTACCAATAAGCATCTGATCCAGTTATGTTAGTGACGTAACGGGACAGCTTGTTCAGAAAAAGGTTTGTATTATTATTGTTGACCATTTCTCTCAGTTCTTCCATAGTTAAATGTTGTTCTCCAGGATTTTGTTTTTAAAAAATTCCAGTTTGTTGTAAAATTTGTTTACGCTGAATCATGTTTAAAGCCCAGTATGAAAATCTAGGATGATTTGCAAAACGATAAATCCATTTACTGTCTTTTTTCTCTGCAAATTTTATTAGATGTTTAACCTTTTCTTTCAGAGTTGCATTTTTTAAAATTGCAGAATTTGTTGGATCTCCTTTACCATCAGGAAACAATGTTGGAAATGCCATTGTGGCTAAATATGGAGTGACATACTCATTTAATGGGCTATTATCTAAAGTCGGCCAGTTTATTTGTCCCTGGGAAAGATTGTTACGAATGAAATCAATTTCTTGTTGGTGGGTGTCATTTACAGGTAGAAAACTTGAAGAATCTGTATTACTGTCATAAACAATATCTTCTTCACTAGAAACAGGACCAAAATCTGGGAGGGGAGTTTTATTATCATCTGTTGTAGTGTCATCTGTTTCTATTGAAAGAAGTTCGCTGGGAACATCATTTTCTGGTAAAGAATTTAATGCGTTATAATTTAATTCAATGTCTGAATAATGTGGATTATTTTTAATGAGCCAGTGAATTGCATCTGATACCACTTGCCTTCTTATTGAAAGGTTTTTAACAAAATTTCCCTTTCCTTTAGCTTTAACAATAGTTATTGATAAATCTTTAGGGTATCTTGGAAGTGATTGAGCCAATTCACTGACATTTTGAGGTAGATTTATTGTATGTCCAGAATATCCTCTTTGTCCTCCTGGTTGTGGTATCGAGAGTATCAGTCTCGAATAGAGCTAAAGTAAAATGAACCACAACGCCCTGCTTGTAGTAAAAACCTTGCTTTCTTTTAATAATAATCTCTCTCTAGTCACGTGATCCAACATGATTGACGTACGACATTACATCCCTCCCTTTTTTTCGGATGAAAAGAACACAAGGTGACTAACTGTATTTTAAGTGATAAACGTCCTAAAATTCTAAACAAAACAATGTACATCGTTTTGTAATCAAAGTTCAATAATCAACATTCAAACTGAATTTAAACTGAGATCTCTTTTCCTTCAAACACTTCATATTATGTCAACGTTCTCAGAGAATCAGAAAAGTTCCTTTTCCAGCCTATTTCTCGTAGACGATTTGTACATAGTCTGAAAACCTGACAGGAGGTTTGATCTGTCGTTTCGATCGTCTCGGCAAGGCGTCAGCTTTCATTTTGGATGGACATTGTGTCTTTTCTTCATCTTTCCTTCCACCATTCTCTTGGCAGGGTGCAAGATGTTTCGGAATAACTTTGAACTGCGATGAATTCCTCGTAACAGTGTGTGAACCATCACTCGCTGTGACCATGGTGCCTTTCTGTTCCTCCACGATGAATGGTTTTGGATTTATGGAGTGCTGAGCTTGTTTTGTTTGGGTTGTCTAATGAGTACAACTTCTCCTGGCTTAATCTCTCGTTCTTGAGCATGCGCTTTGAGGTCAGCATAGACCTTCATTTTCTGCTTTTGCAGAGCATCTCTGGGCGACGCTAGCGGATGGATCTTGAAGTGTATATCGCGGCAGCTTGTGTTGGGTGATCGGTGACTCTGGTAGTGTGGTCTTGAGTTTTCTGCTGTTTAAGGCTTCACTTGGAGACACATTGATGGTGGAGTGGGGTGTTGCAACGATATTGCCGTAAGAACTTGTACAACTCTTGCTTCCAATTTTTGCCTTCTAGGTGAGCAATTCTGATAGACTTTTGGAGGGTCTGAACCAGTCGTTCCGCTTCTCCATTTGCTCTTGGCCAATACGGGGTTATCCTTCTATGCTTGAATCCTAAGTAGTCAGAAAAGTTCTTAAATTCATGACCATTAAACGGTGGACCATTGTCACTTTTCAGGACATCAGGAATACCTTGTCTTGAGAATATTGCATCAAGTTTAGGGATCACAACTCTTGCTGATGTTGAGGTAAGTATTTCTACTTCGGAAAACGGCTGAATTCATCTGTTACAACCATGATGTAATCACCAGAGGGGAACGGTCCAGCAAAATCCACTGCGACTTCTCTCCAAGGTCCGCTAGGGAGTGGCGTCATTGAAGGGGTTCAATCGGTGGTGACTTGGTCGATGCAGCTTGACATGAAAGACAGCTTTTGACCTTCTCTTCTGTTGGGTTGTCGATTCGGGAACCACACTTTGTCTCGGATGAGTTGCTTTGTTTTGACAATCCCTGGTGACCACCATGTGCCAGGTCTACTGCTTTACTTCTGAGAGTAAATGGTATCACAATTCTGTTTCTTCTCAATACTAGTCCATTGAACACTGATAATTCTTCCTTGAGCTTCTTGTATTTCTGTACGTCTGGGACATTCCATTGGCCAGTTTCCACAGCCTTGATGACAGCTTGCATTTCTGCATCATTTCTGGTTTCGTGTTTTATTTCTTCGAGCGTCATTGCTCTTGGTACAGCATTAGAGCATACATAGTTGGCATAATCTTCAGCCAAATTTTGTTCTTCTGGTGCTGTGGGACACGGATGTCGGCTCATGTAATCAGCAGGGTTTTCGCATCTCTTCCAGGCCGATAGATCAGCTGACAGTCGTAGGGCATGAGTCGAAGTTTCCACCTGTCCATTCTTGGGGAAGTTTGCTTGTGGTTCTTAAAGATGCCTATGAGAGGTTTATGATCAGTAATAACAGAAAACTGGGCACCATAAACATACAGATGAAAATGTTCCACTCCCCATACTACGGCAAGCATCTCTCTCTCTGTTTGGGAGTAGCGACTTTCCACATCACTCAAAGCACGGCTTGCATAACTAAGAATTTTGCCTTCTTGTATTAACAGTCCACCAAGACCAGTTGGACTCGCATCGACAATGATTTCGGTCTTCTTTCTTGGATCAAAATAGGACATAACTTGATCCCCAGCGAGGGCTTCTTTCAGCTTGTCCAATGCCTTTTGTTCTTCTTGCTCCCATTTCCAAGGGGTGTCCTGTCGGGTCAGCAGGCGCAAAGGGGTCGTGATTGTGGCATAGTCTGGTATGAATCGGGAGACGTACTGTGCCATACCAAGAAAAGACTTCAGTTCACTATGGTTCCGAGGAGATTGTGCCTCGTGGATTGCTTTAACTTTCTTTGGATCAGGTCTAACACCGACAGAGCTGAAAATGTGACCATAGAACTTGATTTCAGTTTTGGAAAACGCACACTTGTCTTTGTTGAGACGGAGGTTATTTTCTTTAAGCCTCTGGAGAACACCACGGAGATTCTTGTTGTGTTCTTCCTGGTCTTTTCCAAATACTATGATGTCATCTGAGATGTTTTTACATCCTGGGAGGCCAGAAAGGAGTTCCCTGATCTTTTCCTGGAAAATTTCGGACGCTGCATTAATTCCAAAAGGCAAACGTTTGTATCTTCTTAGGCCAGCATGTGTACTGAAGGTTGTGACATAACGACTTTCAGGTGATAACTCAAGCTGGTGGTATCCTGAGGACAGATCTAATGTACTGAAAAGCGTTGCACCATTCAAATCAGCAACAAGGTCATCAATGGTTGGCATGAGATGCTTTTCCCGCTTAATTGCTTGGTTTGCCTCACGCATATCAACACAGATTCGAACTTCTCCGGATTTTTTGGGGACGACAACAATTGGACTGATCCAGGGTGTGGGCCCTTCAACTTTCTCGATGATGTCGAGTTTCTCAAGTCTCTCAAGCTCTTTTTCGACATCGTCTCTAACATGAAATGGAATTCGTCTGTGGGGTTGCTGTCGGGTGTAACATCGGGGTCAATGTGTAACTTCACTTGTTTGTTTGGTACTTTCCTATGCCTCCAAACAGTGATTTGAACTCTTCTTTTAGAGACTCCGGTCGTCTTTTGTTTCTTTCAGTGACGGTGGCAGTATTAATAGAAACCGCAATCAGACCTAGTTTCTTTGCAGTGTGATAGCTGAGAAGATTTCCGTTTTCTCCTTTAACAACAGTCAGCTGAGCGGAGGTGCTCGTGTTACTGGATTTCACGGTTGCAGTGAGGATTCCCAGGGTAGGAAGAGGGACTTTAGATCCATATGAATAAATCTTGGTGTGAACAGGCTGCAGGCTTTCACTGCCGTGACTGTTAATTCTTTGAAAGGTTATTTCATCAAGAAGATTAACAGATGCACCCGAGTCGATCATCATGTTCACGTTTCTTCCATTGATTTGTAGCTGACATATGGGTGGCTTCTTGTTTTCTTGATGGTCGACAGTGTAAACGCGTACTCATATTCTTCATCAGAGGTTTGACCAGTTTCCACGGAGGCCACGGTACGAGGTTTTGAACGACAAACATGAGCAAAATGGCCAATTTTTCCCGCAGGCTTTTTACAGACTTTTCCTTGCGCAGGACATGGATTTTTTGTGAGGTGCGTACCCGCCACATTTGCCACATTTTCTGGGAGAATTGCCTTGCTTGTTTCCAAAACGACGATTGCGTGATTGTGTGTCACGCTGGTATCGTGGGCGGCTTTGCCGATTCTCTTCTTTTCGTTTGATTTTGTTGACGGCTTGGAATTCGCCTCCGGTATCTTCTACGTCTTTTCGCTTGTTTGTCACTGAGTTCTAATGCTCTTCCTAGATTCAATAAACCTTCTAACGTTGGGTTTTCACGTGGCGCTCGGCGTCTAAGCGAGCTGGAACTGCACGTCAGAATAATATGTTCTTTAATTTCTTTGTCAACATCGCTGAATTCGCGGGTTTTCGCGAGTTGGCGAAGCCTGGTGTGAAAACTATCAAGCGACTCACCCTCTTTCTGCTTCGTCTGGCGAAAATTATATACTTCATATGTGGTGTTGACTTGTGGGGAGAAATACTCGTTAAGTTTCGCGACCGCCGTGTCATAGTCGCCGTCTTCGCCAGTGTTTGGTAAGGTGTCGAATATTTCGTCTACGTCGGTGCCGGCATAATGCAGCAACAAAGCCCGTTTCCTTTTCGCAGCTCTGATGTTCATTCCGATAAGCATTCGTTCTAAGCGTCCTAGCCATCTTTTCCATCGTGGACCTGCACTGCCATCGGCATGGACGTCGAACGGTGGAAAACTTGGTAGCGAAACCGCCATGAGGTCTCACAGAGTTGAGCGTGTCGCAAACAGCACGTGCTTTCAAGAAAAATTTACACAGCGAACTCCTCAATGAAAACCGGTGTTGATGTGAATATTGACTGTGGGATTCATGAATTTTAGAATCCTCGTCGCCAGATGTGGTATCGAGAGTATCAGTCTCGAATAGAGCTAAAGTAAAATGAACCACAACGCCCTGCTTGTAGTAAAAACCTTGCTTTCTTTTAATAATAATCTCTCTCTCTAGTCACGTGATCCAACATGATTGACGTACGACATTACACTGGTTTGATATAAATATGCATTATAGGAAGAGCTTTAGCAATTAACATTTCTTCTACCTGCGTTGAACCAGAAAGTTGTGTGGGTACTGCTGAGGGTATCATAAAGTTTTCCTTGGAGAATTTTTTTGGTGACTCTTTTTCTCTTGAGCACCTCAAACATGTATAATTTTGTGGACATTTTAGTGTCACTCTTAATGGCCAGGCTTCAAAACAAACTTTGCATTGGTAAATGTTATAATTATTGGAATTATGGAATTTAGTTATGTTTTGTTTTGCCCAGTCTTGTTTGTGAATATCTCCATGTTTTTCTGCATCAAAAGTTAATAAGTACTGTTTCTTATCACGTCTTTTTCACTTTTTTTGCAATATTCCTTGTAGTTTGCTCTTGTTTCCTTTTTCTCTGCCAAGCATCTCGCCTGCCTAGGTTTCTCTTCTTAATTTTCTCATCAGATTGTAATAATTTGGATTTTAGATACTTTAAGGCATTCTTATTAGTAGTATTACTATGAGGTATTGTAGAAACATAATGCAAGTCTTCTATGTAACCAACAAACAATACTTTTGCATTTTGATCTGTAGTGGATGGCGTAATTGTAGAGCCTTGTGTGCACGAAAGCCTGGACTCAATGATATGAATGACACAATTAAGTTGATTTGCTACTGCTTGTATGATAATGTTGTCACACCATGTGCCTGGTGTGGCCATTCTTTGCAAATAACTTTTTCATGAATTCTCAGACACACTCTCGATAAACAAATCAGGGTGTTGTTCTAAATAGCTTACACCAGCATGCCCTACAGCAATATGATGGTCTGGAGTACCATAATACTGATGTGAAATTGCTTTGAAAAAGCAGTCACCAGAACCACCAACATCCAATGCCTGCAAACCTTTGTCGTATAATCTATTAACCAATCGGTCATAAGAACTGCTTTCAGTACTTGCCCTATAATAATAACTTTTATAAAAATAACTTTATTCATGTGTCAATAGATCCTTCCACGGTTTATAGCGGCCATATTGTTTGGGGGTCAAACAAAACCTCGTTGCTAGGCAACGAGCGATAGATTCTTTTATAATTATTAGACGTGCTTCGGTACCTTCGCTCAATATCTTAACTTTATTGAAGGAAAATTGCTTATTTTCTTCTCCAAATCTAGCGGGAACAAAGATAAGGCGTTACTGTAAGTAAGTGCCGAATTTCTTGGCGAAATACCGTTTTATCTCTGCGTTTTATGGGCAGATTGATATGTTGTTCGAAGTTGACTTCGCGGCCGCTATGATGCGAAAATCGCATTTTAAAAAGTACTTCTTTCGGTTGAGAAATTAGAATATATTTTTTAGCCATCGATATTGTGTAGCTTTAAATTTTAGGCTTTACGGTGGTAGCATTACAACGTACTTAAAATTTTGGTTTTGGTTTTTGTACTTTAGGTGTTTTCAAGCTCAATAGTTGTTTTTATTTCGAATCATGAACTAAAAGATTACCTAAGTTTAAGGGGGTTAAGTGTATCTGGTAAAAAAAAGAAAGAGCCCTCTAGTGTAAATCCAGAAGATCTTTACCAAAAATTTCCTCCAGAAAAGGCTTGCAGAGGATGAATGAACTATGAAAAGATTACCTGGGAAAGTTCTCTTTTATTTTTAAGGGACTCGGATTTAAGCTTTGTATCTGGTGTATTTTAAGTGTATTTTAAAGTGCAAAGTTACACCATCCCAACGAGTCAGAGATGAGCCACGGGAGGTGTGGGTAGCCATTGATACAAATCAGGGGGGTGTCCTGTCTGCATGGTGTAGCTGTACAGCAGGCTACTCCCAAAGTTGCAATCATGTTATGGCACTTTTGTACAAAGTGGAGCATGCAGTTTCTATGGGCTTCACTAATCCTTCATGTACATCTGTACCATGCAGATGGAATGATGGAATAAGAAAATCAGAGACTTAAAAATAAGAACTTTCACACAACAAGACAAAGTTGAAAGGAGGGAAATCAACTCAGATTTAAAGAAAACTTTTGATCCTCGCAGAGAGTGTGAACGAGCTGCCACTGAAGAAAGCAAAAATAGATTTCTTGAAAAATGGAAAAAAATTACTGATAAGTCAGTGATTTTTAAGGCTGTTGAAGTGGAAGAAGAAAGTCATGATGCACAAGACTTACCTCTTCCACTGAACCAAGTTGCAGAGAAATTTGCCTCAGAACATAAGGGGGAAGGGGAAGTAACCATTGTGACAGGGTTTCTTGAGTCACTTCACTTGAGCCAGAATCAGTGTGATTCAATTGAAAAGGCCACTAGGGCTCAAAGCCAATGTACAGAATGGGTGGAGCAGAGGAAAGGAAGGATAACTGCCTCAAAATTTCATGAGGTTCATACCAAAGTGAAAACACTTTTAGCTGGACGCAAAAAGGTGGTCAAGACCAAACCCCTTATTGCCAGGATTGTTCATCACCAGTCCCTAAATAATGTTCCAGCTGTGCAATGGGGGCGAGCACATGAGAAGGAGGCATTAGATGCTTTTGTAACAACAGAGGGACCTAAGCATACCAACATGCAGATTTTTGAGGGTGGCTTATTTGTAAAAAGGGATCTCCCTTACATTGGGGCAAGTCCTGATGCTATTGGCACCTGTGATTGCTGTGGAACATTTGTTGTTGAATGCAAATGTCCACACAGCATTAAAGGTGAAAGGGTTCTTGATGCCTGGAATCGAACTGAGTTTTTACAGATGGATAGTGGTAAAGTATGTCTGAAAAAAGGACATAAGTACTACACCCAATTACAAGGGGAAATTGTCCTATCAAATTGCTTTAAGGGGTATTTTGTTGTGTGGACACAAGTAGGTGACCCTTTAGTGGAAGAAGTTCAGCGAGATGAGGTTTTTTATCAAACAGTTGAGCAGAATTTAGTTTTCTTTTACAAAGGCTATGTTGTTAAGGTTTTGCTGGGCTTGGTAGGTATCTTTTACTGTCCAAAATGTGAATGCCTGTGCTTGGAACCTGATGAAATTGAGAAGTATGGTGGAAATAGTGTATGCTGTGATCAGTGTGCACTGTGGTATCACTGGGAATGTGAAGACCTCACTATTGAACTAGAAGAACTTCACTGGCTATGCTCCTCTTGCAAACAGCTTTACTTAATCGAATAAATCAATCAGTGTCATTTAATATGTAAGACAGATATCAGTACTATAGCTCTAGTCCTTTCTGTTGAATTTTTTTATATTATAAAGGTATCTAAAAGTTATGGTGGATATTTCTTAGCGACTGAACAGCTCTCTGCTTACTTTACATGCAGTGAATGAGCATAACAGTTTTCAACTTTACATATCACTGCAAGACTGTCTAGGAAGAATACAGGCACTAGTATTTTTGGTTCTCTTTAAAATATTTATTACTCACATAGGGGAGGAAGAAGATTGCATAGGCTACAACATGTAATGAGAATGTCATCACACAAAGGAAGGCAGCTCATTGGCATTATATGACTTAAAATCTTGAAGTGTTTGACCCTACCTATTGCCTGCTCTACATAAATGCGCACATTTGCCAACCTTGATGTTTCTAACACATCTTGTGATGGCATTTGGAAGTTGCCCACAGTACTTGGGGGAATGGCCAAGGTAGCCTGATACATGGCCAAGTCATCACGAATCTTAAAGCCTCTGTCTGCCATAACTTGGTCAAATGGCTTAAGGTGGTTCATGAACCTACTGTCCATGACAATAAATTTGTCTGATGCTCTACCCCCATAGCAATCAGACACAAAAGAAATTAATCCATTTGGAGTTATTCCAATCAAAAACTTAAAAGTGCAACGGTGTTTATAGTCTGACCAACAAATAGCCTGTAGCTCTAAGCTTGATGGTGTTTCGATGAATACTTCTGAACAGTCAATAATGCACCGAACTTTAGAGTAGTATTTTTCGAAGCACTTTGGTAGC